AATAAAATTATTTTTTAAAAAACTTTGTCTTATATACTTGTGTGCTCCCATGTTTGATGTATACATATTCATGAATGTTACCTCTTCCTCTTGAAGTTTTCCCCTAACAAATTTATATTGGTCTTCTTTATTTCGTTTGATAATTCTTGGTTTGAGGTTGAGACTGTCTGATCGCTACCCATGTTTTTTCTGAGGTGCTGGGGCATGTAGTATTGTTTTGAATCATTTGACTTTCAACCTATGAATTTCTTAATGAGTTAAATGTGTTTCTTGTATACTGCATATTGTTCGATTTTGTTTCATAATCCGATATGCCAGTCTATTTCTTTTTGTTGTCTAATTGAGTACATTTCCTTGATGGTTATAATTGGGATGCATTGACTTATAATTGACATGTGTTTAACCTGCTGTTGTTCACTATTTTTTCTCCTGTGTTTAATTATTTTCTAAATTTAATGGGTTCCTTGAATTCTTTTTTATTTCTTTTTATTAATTTTATTGAGAAGAAAATTGCAATGAGACAGTTTCAAAACAGGTTGATAGGAGAGTTACAACAATTAATACATTACATATTGTTGTCTTTGCAGTAGTCATTCATAGCTCAAGATGCAGACATGATATCCTGCCCAAACACTGCTAGTACAAATCTTTGTTCTTATTGAATTAAGAGAAAGTGGCTATATATCTATCCTAATTTCTACATACAGATACAAAATTGTCCTTCATTTATATCTCTTTTTTTGTTCAGTTTTGTCAGAGATGTGTATTCCATTTCCATCCAAATATTGTAGGTGAATGAACTCAGCAAAATATTCCAATGTAGTTCAGTAGTCCACACAAGTAGTGGGCTATCCACAGGACTGGTAATGTCCGACTCTATTGACTTGAGGCTTCCACAGCTCTGCATACTAATATGGCTTCACTTTTCATACCTCATTTCTACACTTTTCTGCTTGATGATTAAGACGAAGATAAAGTAAGACCTTTATATCAAGAAATATAACTTTTGTATCTGATAAGGTCAGTCAAATCCCCTCAGAACTTATCCTGAAACCCTGTACTGCACTTTGTAGATCCTTTGTCAGTGTCAGCCATGTGGATGAGACATGGCCATTACTTGACCAGTTTGCTCTTTGTGAAAGCCTGAGAGAATGTTTTCTCTCCATGTGATCGATGTAGTGTGTGCCTAAAGACTTCATCTTAATGAATTAAATCTGCAGCTTACTGAAGTTCTGATAGTTAGGACCCCAGCATATCTTTCAACACATAACAGAGCCGAATTAAGGCAAAGAGAGTCCCCTTGTGTGGGCACTGCCCAGCATGGGGAGTTCAGAGCAGGAGCAGGGGGACAAGGGCATCCTTCAGATTGGGTGGCAGGGAGTAAACTGTAAGATTCTGGTCAATGGGAGCTGGATATCTATCCTTGCATTCTTGTTCATGGAGTTCTAATCATTTTGGTCCCTTTCTAGAACATCTTTTAGTAGTCTGTGTAGGGTTGGCTTCATCATCATGAAATGCTTTAGCTGTTCTTTTTCATGGAAGTATTTCATTTCTCCATCCAACTTGAAAGAGAGTTTTGCAGGGAATAGTAGTCTGGGCTAGAATTTGTTTTCATAGAAGACTTGTCATGCTCTCCTCCATGCTCTTCTTTACTGCATGATTTTTGAAGAGAAGTATGCCATTATTTTGATGGGTTTTCCTTTAATTGTGATGCTTCTTTTCTCTAGTAGCTTTCAGTACATTGTTCTTGTGCTGGATTTCTGGGATCTTGACTATAGTCTCAGTGTGTGTTTCAATTGGGTTGATGTTCTTTGGAGTCTGTATACTTCAGTTACCTGAATGTCAGATTGTCTCCCCATATTTGAGAAGTTTTCTGCTATTACTTCTGCCCATATTCTTTTTATATCATTTGTATTGACTCCTTTCTCATTGATTGCTATTAGTTTCACGTTGTTCATGTGTGCATTGTCTTGCAAGTGATGAATTATTTTTTCCTGCATCCTAGTTGTTTTTAAGATATCTTTTCTTACCTTTTCACTAGCTACAATGGTGTTTTCAAGATCTGAAACTCTATCTTCACTTTTACTCAAACGGTTTTGTAAGTGTGTGATTGATATTTTAAGTTACTCTATATCTCTTTGAATCTGCCTCATGTGATCTATTTTTCCTATATTATGCATTCAAGTATTCTATCATTTTTCTTATCTCTATTTTTTCATCAGTGTCTTCTTGAGATCAGTTATTAATTTTTTATTATAGTTATCCTTTCTTTTTTTTAAGTTCACGAGTTATTTCTGATTTTATTTCCTCTATATGTTTCTCCAATTGATTCTTTACTTCAGATGCTATTAATTCAGAGATTCCTTTCTTTATTTCAGAAGTTATTGCTGATCTGAGTTCCTCTATACTTTTCTGCAGTTTTTTTTTTTTACTTCAGATGCTATTAATTCAGACATATCAGCTGTGTGATCCCCAGCTGCTTCTGTGTTTGTATCTTCTGCACTTGTTCTGTGTGGTCTAGAGTGGCCTAAGATTGTATTTTGCTGCTTCTCTTTGTCATTTTGTATATCACTGTCCTCTGACCCTTGGTGCAGCACTTCGCTGCATTATAACCTTAGCACCTTCTGAAATTCTTACCCAAGAGAGATTGTATGATTAAGGCAGTTATAGTTTTGTATTTACAGAACTACAGTAAGAAACACTAATAATGAGAAATGGTATTTAGCAGTTGGCAAACTTTTGTATCTATTGGGTTTGTACTTTAGACAGTAAGAGCAATCTTTATGTCTATATAGCAAAACATATATTAAATTGAAAATTTGTATTTAAGTTACTTCCTCTAAGTTCTGTCTAACCACCTCCCCTTGATGTACCTGGTGTTTTCCAGGCAGATTAGTTCACTTTGGTAATCTTTTGCCCCCTCTCTCAGTCAAAAGAGGAAGAGGGAGTACACTTTTATAAATCTGGGTCTAGCAAAGTGTCTCAGCTTAAGGGGTGAAGATGTAGGAAATTTGAATTCATTCAGTTGGGCTTGGCTTCGATCTGGTTGCTGTGCTCAGATTCTTCCTTCTGCAGCCCTTGGAAATGAACCTATTGTGACCCTCTGGCAAGATGTTGTACCCCGGGGCTAGCCAGGTGGTTCTGGTCACTAGCCTTCCTGCAGGGTCTGCAGCTGTACAGTTTCACAGCAGGCCTGTATGTCAGGCCTGGACTGGGTCTGGAGATGTCCAGAGAGCAGTACAGAAGGACTTACAAATGGGCATTGGCTGGGTCTGGAGGGATCCAGAAGGCAAAGGAGAGCATGAAAGCTCTCCCACACACTTGCTGGGCCTGGACTTTGACTGCATCTTGAGGGTTCCTGAGGGTGCGCTGGAAGTTCTCACTCACACACAGGGCCTGGGATGGTTTCTCTCAGCTCATGTTCTATACTATAGCAAGATCTTTCTTACTGTAGAAAATTATTTTAAATTTTTGCTGACACTTTTGTAGACTATAAAGTAAGTCTCTTTCATCTGAGAAACTCACATTAGTCATGTAAAAAAATAGCATTCAGGGCCAGGAGATACCTCAGTAGAATTAGAGCTTCCTTGACAAGCTCAAGGTCCTGAGTTCAATCCCCAATTCTGAAAGAAAAAAAGTAGCATCAAATACACAGAAATATCAATAGGTTATAAACAAGGCAGATTAACCATTCATTTAAACACTATATCTTGTTTTAATCACAACCAATTATAAATGACTACTCTTTTTGAAGAACTCATTTATTGAACAAATATGAAAATGAAAAATGACATTAGGAAAACAAGGGAATATATTCCTAACACAAACACATATTTGAACATTATGAATGAAAATAGACCACAAGAATTCTTCATTTCTGTAACTATACAGCACTCTTATCTTAAGGAATATTTAACAAAAGAGAATAAATGACATATGATCATGTTTTCCTGCCTTCACCACAAGTCTTGTGTCTATTTTGTCTTAATTTTTTATTTCATGTAATGATGCTTTGTTTTTATAATACAACAAATATTATTATCACATAGAGTTAATCAAAGTTCATGTTGATTATATGGTGCTCAATATAGTTATAAATCTCTATTCCTATTACAAACTAGTTGTTTCTCACCTAAGTAGCCCATGCACCTAATGTAACAAGCTAAAAGAAAAGTTTCTAGGATGCTACTTAACGAAAAGACCATTTTCAGGATGATTTCATATAATAAAATCTAAATTTAAAATTTGTTGTTGTGCATAATAATGAAAAATGTCATAAATTTCCACATGTAAAAAGTATATTCTTAATAAAGAGAACTGTATTCTAAAACCTCTTAAATTTGAGATTGGGATAACTGGATAAATAGCCTCGTGGTTCAAAAATTTGTTTATATTTTATATTGACATGACAATTAAGTCATACATTAAAGCGACTATGTTCTGCATTTATGATGTAATTTTATGCACTTAAAGATTGCTTATTTATATAAAAACTATAAAGTTCAATTTTTAGTAACCATCTTAAGTGAATACCAGCACATATCTTTCTTACTTCAGTTCAAAATTTCAGAAAGTTCTATCATTGGTGTAAAATTCAAAATATCCATGACTGTAAATTCTTCTACATTTAAAGTTTCTAAAATGTTATTATTTTGTATATGAGTATATTAAAATAAATGCTTAAGTTTACTTATTGGGTTGAACTATCTTGGAGAGTGTTTATTCTGAACCTACATTTTTAGTTTTTATTAATTTAAGTTTTTGTATTTTAGGGAAGGGGTGAGCCTGCATTTTTAAATATCAAAGTTATATAGGATGACAGGAAATTACAAAAAAGAATTTATAGTATACAAGAATTTCTTTTGAATTAATCTTTCTAAGAATATTTATAGTGATATTGAAAATTTCCTGGAGAGCTGAAGGCTCCACATTTTTGGACCAGCACCTTAGCCATTGAAGCAAGAATAAAGATGACTGTCTCAGCCTTTTGTTTCCCAAAATTATGACACACGAATGCCCTGAAAGGAAAGATAAAACAGTAAGCTGGTAAAAAAAAAAAGCATGAATGATTTATCCAACAAATCATAGCTCAACATTTGTATGACAAAAAAAAGTGAAATAATGATGTGCAGGAGGAGGAAGGTAACTATAATATGCAAAGCTTTTATGTGGGCCGTGGTGCTGATATTTCTGGACTCTCTGACACTCTCCTGCATCCTCTTCAGATGTTTCCACAGGGAGAAGATGAGCAGAGAAAAGTTGTCAGGGATACAGTATTGGGTAAGAATGCAAATATACTGTTGCTGAAAAAAATTGTTTTTCAACAATTGTGTAGAGTTAATCAAATGGAAAGTGTCAGATATTTTCGTTTCATATCCATTAATCTAGGCATCAAGACGTGGGTTTGCCAGGATAATGTGTAAAGGCAGCAAGACCAATTACACTAAAAATGTCAGTGAAATCACCTGTTTAACTTTCCACTTAAGAAAAAGAAAATAGATTTAGAAAAATTGGCTATCTTGAAAAAAATAAAAGATGTTGAGACATGTTGTGAGTCAGATGTTAAACTGACTAGTAACTGTCCAGTTAAAACCAGCTATTTTTGCCATTATTTCAGTCAACAAGCCTGGGTGAAAAATAGATAATACATATATGGCAGACAAATTCTGGAGATTGCCAAAGTAGTGAGGATTTGATCAAACAGAGAGATCTTTCTTCTCTTGATCCAGACCATGAAGTTCGCCATTGTTATGGAGGCATTTCCGAAATTTCCAGTTATGAACTCAACATGTGAAATGACTAAAGACATGATCTGCACAAACATACTCATTTTCTGTGAGGATGCCTAGATTTCAATTATCACTGCTGGAATTTAATGCATACATCTAACATGAGAAGTACATTTAACCAAAAATGCAAAAATATTTTCCGTGATATTCCAGCTCAGTCCAATAGCATGTGCATTATACTAAAGTCTTTTGGCTTTAGTTGATGGTGAAAGGAAAAGGTCATTCTTACGCACTGACAAGAAAACAAGGGCATATTTACTTGGACAATTTTCCTATGTTTGCTTCATCTATATAGTTTATTCTGGCAACATGAGTTATGGCTAAGCAATATTACAAAATTTTAGCACATGTAGCAGGAAACATAATATGAACAGGCATATGGAATTTTCTAGGCCATGAAAATTTAAATAAATTTCAAATTTAGGTATAATCAAGATCCACTGAGAAGGTCTACAAAGCTCTTCCTACAAGCTCTCAGAGTTCTTTAATAGTTTAGTGTGGTCATTAGTCCTCCAATGTTGGATATTGATAATAAATCTTAATGTTTTACACTCTCTCTCTCTCTCTCTCTCTCTCTCTCTCTCTCTCTCTCTCTCTCTCTCTGTCCTGCCCTCCCTCCCTCCCCACTTGTTGAAATTGGTTCTCCTCTTTCTACTCTAATAATTTAATATATTCAATGGATAAACTTTAAACATGCACTCATCTCATATTTAATATCATAATTGTCCAGGCATTTTATTAAAAACACTCTATCACAAATAATGTAATACTAAATGCAAAAATTCCCTAAACTTTTAAAACAATTGTCTGTGCATGTGAGTGAGATAGAAATCTATCTGCTATTTCCTATAGAATTAATTTAAGTGAATATGTTCATACACAAAGAAAAAACTCTTCCACATTTTGTGCCTCTCCCAACTTCTAGGACACTTTCCTTCATGAACACTGAAACCTTTGGGGTTTATCTACTTGCCCATAACTTTTCACAGCTTTCGTGTGCTTGATTATCACCCTGAGAATCAAAGGATATATGAAGATGATATGTTTCTTAGTGAAAATATGGAATAGACTACACGATACAATCATTCTTCGCCAACTTGCTAATAGGTGAAGAATAGGCATATGAACAAAAAAAGGAATATTGAAAATGCTACCAAAGACATTACAAAAATGTAAAATAAATTTCAGAGATAGCATAAAAAACATGCAGTATTCAATTTAGAATCTCTAACACACCTCCAACCACAAAAGCAACACTAAGCAAAGAACATGAATCCAATGCATATTCAAAAATCTTTCAATTAGGAGAGAGAACATACTGTGAGAAAAGAAAAATAGGACAATCGCAAATCACTGTGGTGTTGGGCAGTGTGGGCTATGGAATATTACTGCAGCATTAGGGAATTCTACAAAGGACAGAACTTGGGTCCCTGGTAGTAGTTACTCTTAACCTGAGAAAATCGCCCTCAGGAACAATACTGCAATGGTCACGCTGGCCACATTTTAGATTTCCTCTCAAACAGCACATGAAGAAAGTTTTTATATATGTGAAAAGAATTTCTCCATTGACAATTGTGTTAACCCTTCACTTAGAAGGCTGGAAAAAAAGTTAATTCCTAAAATAGAGGCAGTATCTTTACCTGGTTCTGAATCATTTTTACATTTAACCATATTTATATATGAGGTTAGTGTATTTAACTAAAACTTTCTCATTTGCAACAAAATTTGTACTCTAACTATACCAAGGCAAATACTCTAAATTAGTTCAAACATATTCCATCTGTATCTCTGTCTTTAGGTCAGAATATATAATAATAATAATCAGATACCTACATATAGTCACATATATGTTGATACTTTATTTTTTTTTCTTTACGGATTGTTTTGTTTTTTTTTCAAAGTTTTATTGATAAACAGATAGCAATGAGACAGTTTCAAATCAAATCGGAAGTACAGTTTCAACAAATAATACAATGCATAT